CAGAAAAGATGGTTAGGAAACTACCCGCCTATATAACTGAAATTTTTGTTTGTTTGTTTGTTTGGATTTTACGGCACGTCAACACATAAATGGCCATATCGTGCCGAATGCTATAATAGGCTTAAAATATTATGTAAAACTTTGTAAATGATAATAAAAAAGAGCCAATCAGATCCTTGAATACAAGTTTATCTCTTTCAAATAACCGATGATGTTTTTTGATGGAATTGTACTAAAGAGTTCTTTGAGTGAGTTTACATTATGAAATCTGTTACGGGTCTGTGAAAAATCATGACATTCCAGAAGAAAATGCTTGACAGTAAAATTTTCATTACAACCTACACAGATAGGGGGAATTTTTATTCGTGAGGAGATAAGAATGGGTAACTTTAGTGTGTCCAATTCGGCATCGAAGAAGAACTGTTTGATCATGGCGGTTTGACAAAGACAGAGATGGTGACACATCAAGAGATGGGTTTATATCATGAAGTTTATTAAAGACAGCATTGTCCCAATTTGCTTTCCATTCAGATGAAACGAGTTTATTTATAACTTAAATACTGTTGGGAAAAGGCATAAATTGAAACAAACAAACAAAAGATAATTTAAGTACCTGTAGTTGCACTCAATGCTCTCAGTAGTTCCCAAGTTCCTAGATATCTTTAAACTTTTGACTTCTGGTACCAAGAGAAATGTGGCTGTGGTAAATAGTTGCTAAGTACTTTAGTGTTAATACGTGTTGTATACATACCAGCTATAATACCAATGAGTGAATGGTAAGAAAATAGATAAAAACAGAATCCCTAAAGAAAGCCCAACACGGCAAAATTGAAAATGTTGCAGGCTCGGTTTGATTGAGCCTGATCATGGACGGTACTGGAACGTGCAAGGAACCGTCCACGCTCCCTAACACCGGCTTAAGCAGAATTCAACATTTAACACGAAAATGGTGAAATTTTGAATTTAGAAACATCCGCAGATGTGTTCATACGGCGGTTATCACGGAACCTTCAATGTGACACTTCCGTGCCATTCCATTGAAAATGTCGTATGGTCCCAAAGTAATAAAAAGCGCGTGCCCTTTACGAGAAAACAATGGGCGGAACTAAATAAAATGGAATTTTGAAAGGGGATCAGAGGTTATGAAGCCTGCGTATCACAGATAAGACGTCAAAAAGACAAATTTAAAAAGCAGGCAACATATCCTAAGGGTGATTCAACATTATTCAAGTAGGAATATTGGAACCACCCAACTACAAAATGCCGAAAAGTGAAAACTAAAATAATGTATTGCTGAACGATCTTCAAGGATCGAAAATATAACATCATTGATTAAATGTACGGGGAGACTTTGTACAGCCGCCACACGGCACAAATAACACGGATGTGATCATAAAATAGATAAATACAGAATTCCTAAAGAAAGCCCAACACGGCAAAATTGAAAATGTCGCAGGCTCGGTTTGATTGAGCCTGTTCATGGACAGTACTAGAAAGTGCAAGTGGAAAGCAAAATAACCGTGCATATCCAGTAACGCAGGAATGCAATAAACGCAAAAGTAACTCTGAATTTGTGCAACGCTCTTTTCCAAAACGTATAACACAGTAAGTAAACGAACCAATATACACATGTATTTTATTTTAAATCAAATTAGATAAAATGAATTAGCGCATACGGCTGAAACGACATTATACTTCAACCAGCATTACTATTTTTTTAGGAATATGTGTACTTTCTTAGATCATTCGTGAGAAAGACAAATGGATTACTGTTTTGAAGTTAACTTTTGTGCTTCGTCAAATAAACATGAACATTTAACACATATGAAACTTTATTTTTTCAAATTCTGTAAACCTAAGATATGTGTTAGGAACTTGGGTAAAAAGGATGTAGTTACTGTTAATGAGATAACCGTCGTTGTTCCAGTGCTTCATTCCCGAATTCGGTGTTTCATCGTAAGAATGGTCTCAATCACGTCTTATCAGCTAACTTAAGTGTAATATAACACGAGTAGATTGGAACATGTCTCAAGTACACTAAATGTATAAAAAAAACATAAAGTAACATAAAGTAACATGTACGTTATTGAATTCAAAGAAATCAACGAAACTAAAAATCGACATCAATACGTTAGTCAGTTCGTCATGTTCAAGAATGTTCTTGAAAAATGAACATTTTTATGTCAACGTTCTTGATGAGTTTAATTATAGTATAATGTCTCAGCAACCTTATAACGCCAACACATTTTTTTCTAAATTTGGTGTACAATAAATATATTGGCAAATTAATTATCGCTGTGATATTTTTAGTCACTTAACTGCACGATTCTGTGTTATTTTCGAACAACCCCTGTGGTATTTGCACGTTCCTAAGTTAATTTCTGGATATACACGGTGAAAATTACAAAGCTATTGCACTCAGGTTAAACACACGTTTTTGGGGGTTCTATGCTGTAAAAGAAGAAGTGTTGAATTTGGCTACTGAATAAAAGCCTTTTCCTGTTTCATCAAAGTAATGATCTGTGTTTGCCAAAAGGTATATTTAACTGATATCTAGTGCTCATATATAATATTTTACTTTTAAATAAAATGTGTAAAAACAATAAGAATAGCAAGTTTTTTCTATTGTTTTGACCCTGTTCATACCAAAAACCTTTCAAATATGACCTCATTTAGATGTGATGCATTTTTTTAAACTAAAGTAATGTTGTTTAATTTTTTCATACTATTTGAAAGAAGACCATACGATAATGATTAATTTACAGCATTTTCAATTTCATTTAGTCTTCACTTTATTCTTATTCTTTAAAACATATGCACTTATTAAAGAATATAAGTCCTTTGCATTTTAAACATGTCAATACAAGGACTATATATTATCATTTTCTTTCACGTATGTCTGTCTGTTAAATGTAATAAACACTCAGAATATATTTCATTCTGCTTGTTTTATTCTGCTTAAGCTAATAGACAAACTGTTAGTAAAGGAAAGCGGATTGCCATAGAGGGGATGCATTTGCGGTCAGAAATGCTTAAATTATATGTCTGACTCGTAAATCACTCGACCATTGCAGCACTGATATCTCCCTTTAATAACGATTCTTTTATTTTTACAATAACTTGCACGAAAAACCTGTACTTAAGGCAATCGGTAAGGTTTGTGTCTTGAAAAACATATCTCCCCTCCATTACTCGGGTAAACAAGCTTGGGAAAGGGTTTTTCATATATATATATTTTATTCTATCATTTTCATTAGTATCTTATTCTTAGTACCTTTACCCAGTTCATCATTATACTATCAAAACCTTTCCAAAACATTTAAAGGAAAAAGAGTTATGACCTATGACGAAAACATTTACGATAAATTTAAGATCATACTAAAAAGATGTTTGCCTGTTAAAAATAATTTGTCCTGACGATTTACAACATTAAATGTATTAACCGAGGTTTGAAGCAAAAAAGAAGCTCTACTAACGGATCAATTATCGCAAGTGGAAAAGATGTTGCAGTATAAAGATGATTACATTAGATATTTTAGGAATGGCGTTATTATTACTTTGTCACTTTTGTGAACGATCGTTTATCTATTACATATATAAATCGCATATATATGAAATTTGACGAACGATTATGAGGCAGAGAAAAAACTAATAACATGAAACTAAGTAGGTTAAGTGTATTTTTCTCAATAAATCAGTAGCACGGCTGTGCCGAACCAGACAAATTCAATTTTATTAATACTGGATAACAAACGTTTATCTTAATTAAATATTAAAATCTAAAAGGGCAAAGGTCACGTGAGTCTGACATCTTGATTTAACGTTATGATTTTTTATAACATTATGAAATATATTTATCATGTACGACTCGTATTTACTAAGATTAAACAAAGTAGGACACAAAGAATCTCTATCTATTAGTATTAAAAAAAAAAGATTTCATTTTCAATTTTTACTTAAGAAAACTTGATTTTAGTTAACCAATGTATGAAATGTTATTAAAATACATGTTGTAATATTGTTTTACAAGATACCGGTATGCGTGTTTATCTCTTGAACCAAATACTTAGCTTGCAACTATAATTGATCTTTAGTTTTATCTCCTTATTCTTTATTTCATTTATTATTCATTTACCAAAATAGGGTTGTTCTTTGCAAATCAGAGTCTTCATATGTTTTACGTACTATATTCTTTTAGCCTTATATGATCAATGTTAGTTTCATAGAACAATTAGATTATGATCCCGATCCTGAGCCAGATCTTTTTAAATTGATATTCGTTTAAAGAACTATAGCGTAAAATTCCTTGAGGTATTACACACATTATGGTGATCTATTTAAATGATAGCCCTTGGCAATTCTGTTGTAGAACCGTTAATAAAATAATTCTGAAAAAAGTAAACACATTTTCTAAAACTATCAGTGTTTATCAAATATTCTTGTTTTTCAAACATCGAAAAAACCTTTGTCACATAGAACATTTTTCCCATCAATTTGGATGCAATTTCGAGACCAATACGCCAAAATGGAGTCCTTCGAGGAACTTTGATTCTGATATGTGAGAAGCTATCCAGCTTACTTATGGAACGCCGGTGGTTCTACTCTAGTGTCAGTTATTGTTTAAAATTGTACAATATTTGGTACATGAGGTCTAATTCCAACAGTAGTGAAGTTATTATTATTATTATTATTGCAACATAAACACACAAACAATCAAATCCATCAACGTTCTAAGCATTTATAATGTTTTTATCCTTTGGAATATTGTTGATCTTTCTTTGTGTTAAAGAATTAAGTCAACTTTAATAAACCTTTTTTTTTATTAATTTACTACTAGTTTTAGTTTACGTGCCTTTTAGGTTTCGCAGTGTTGTCGCTAAAATTCGCAATTTGCCTGAACATCATATCGGATAAATTTGTCTCTATATAAAGCGGAGAAACAGACAACGTTCAGTTTATTGGGTATTTAGTTGGGTTACGAACGATGCTCTCTGCTAAGGAATATTGCCAGAAAATTCCATGAGTGTTTTATTGTTATTTGTTTAAATAATAACAGAAATGACTTAAACGAAATATTTGGGAAATTCACTTTATCTTTGATTTGAAATAAAGTAGCACATTAGTTCGGATATTCAAATTTGATGATGAATATATCGTCAAACCTTTCAAGAGAACCGCAATTTCTATCGTCCGACAATTTTACACAAATTCTGTTTGCATACGGAGTTCCTGTGATTTGCGTGTTCGGCATTGTAGGGAATATCTTCTCATTCAGAGTGTTTGTATTTAAAAGTTTTAGAAACCATTCATCAAGTGCATATATTGCCGCTTTAAGCGTCTCAGACTCTTGTTTCTTGCTGTCACTGTTTCTAAGTTGGCTTGGAAATGGGACGTTTGGATTCCTGTTTAGTGGTCACTGGTGCCAGGCGATGATTTACGTTACAAGCGTCTGCAGTTTTCTATCAGTCTGGTACGTCGTGCTGATTATGATTGACAGGTTTGTATTTACATGTTTAACGACATCCTTAATTAAATAGTTTTTTTTCCTAAAGAGTTTTCTGTAATTCTTACAATTTAAAAAAACTGTGCGATCAAAATGCGGATGTTTCTTAATTCAAAAATTTTACCTCTTTCATGTTATATAGGGCGTGAGTGGTAGTTTGAAAATTACCAATTCCATCCATACACAGGCTCAATTAAACCAAACATTTACGAGTTTGCCTGTTTGAGCGTGATTAAGGGATTCTGTTTTTCTCTTTTTTAAGGTTACTTTGCTTACTTGATGGTTAGTATCGAAGCTTTATGTTGTAAGACGTTCATTATTGCTATATTTAATATATTGTTACATATTTTTATGGATGAGTTAAGGAAAGAGAGCATTCATGCAAAGCAAGCGGGTTTGAGTAAAAATTGGCTTGAACAACTTTTCATTTGAATTGATATGAAAATTTTACGAATACTGATAGAGTAAAAGCATATTACTTTAAATAAATAGCTACAAGAATAATAATGATTGATATGAACTATAAAACAGTTTAAAATTAAAGCATTCAACGAATCAATCAAAAGATAATTATATAAATCAGTCTATAAATCTCTTTTTAATCATAAAGTTCTTTAAATATTATCTAAATTTCAAAAGATGAATTTAACATATAACTTTCAGACAAAAGAAAAAAAATGTGTTACGTTATACTTTGCATTACCATTTAACATTGTGCAGTATGAAAAAATTGCTTCAAGATTGTTTGTAAAAACAAACTGTCTCTGATTTTAAACGAAAGAATGACAATGTGTCCCGATATAATTAATTTTAGATTAGATATCAAAATTAAATTACGACACTTTCAATTATGCCGAGGTCAGCTTAAACTAATTTCATCGACGAACTCATTTTTCCTCGGATCGGCGGTAATACTGATTAACCAAATTACAAGCAGAAGAAATTTGCATATTTAACCTATTTAGTTTCTATGAATACGATTTCTTCATTCGAGAACAGCAAAACGTTCAGTATATTTACAATTATTATTAAATATATATTAATACTATCATATTTTCAGAGTTTAAATTTTAGTTTAAAAATAAGCAATCCATATCAAATAAAATTCAAAACGATAAAGCATAATTAATACAAAATAATAAAGAATATACCGAAGAATATACCGAAGAACTTATATCAGGACAGCACCCTGATGCTAAATAGCCATTTTTGTGTCAAATGTAGAAATGACAAGGTTAAATCCGTCAAATACAGCTGGGCCGGTTAAATTTGCAGTTTATTACTACCTTTTATCCTTAAGCTGTTCATTTCAAATGTATTAATATATAAAAAGCTGTTTAAAATAAGTATTCCCCGAAAATCTCAGAAAATCTCAGAAAAGTATTTGTTACATATGGCGATATGGCTGTACAAATATATAGAATGGGACTGTTTGTACAGTGTATACTGAAAAAAATTGATCATAAGTATTTCAGTATTTGTAATATATAAATTGATGTATTTTTTATTAGGTTTGTTATCAATTACTTTTGCAATCTGTATTTTTGTGTCTAGGATATAAATATAAAGATTGTTTATTTTCACATGTTTCTAAAAAGATGATAAACTACTCCGCAACATACTTGAGAAAATGAAAATTATATAAAATTTCAATTTTACAGTAATTAAGCCCTATTTTATTAAGTCACGGAAAATGTGTGAATTTAGGAATTAATTCAGGTTAAAATAAATTCTTCCAGAATCTTAACTAAAAAGATGATAAACTACTCCGCAACATACTTGAGAAAATAAAAATTATATAAAATTTCAATTTTACAGTAATTAAGCCCTATTTTATTAAGTCACGGAAAATGTGTGAATTTAGGAATTAATTCAGGTTAAAATAAATTCTTCCAGAATCTTAACAAGTGGTAATCTGCAGTTTTCGAAACAAAGCTACTTTTACTGAAAATTGATTCGATATTCAATAGAACAATATTGATACCTTCTTGTATATGTTATTTATGTATATATATTGAAACAATAAAATAATGAACATACATTGTTATCATTTCAGATACCTTGTTGTCTGTCATTCACTAAGAGTACCAGAGCTTTGTACAAAACGCCGGGCTAACATGGCAACTTTGGCGGTCACGACTTTCAGCTTATTGTTTAACAGTCACTTCTTCGTGACGGCTGAAGTACACGGGGACCATTGTTCAGTCCAAGAGAAATCGTCAATGCTACACGTGCTTACAATATTTATTTACATCGACACCGCTTTAACATTTATCATACCGTTTGCCATTATATTTTTGTTAAACACGGTTGTGATCATATCAATAAAACGTTTTCATTCTCGACACGTTCAACAACGAAACACACATTTATTGAGGATCAACACCGTTTCAAAAGCACAGATGAGGATTACTCGTACATTTACGCTTGTGTCAATAGTGTTATTAATCACAAACGTTCCAAGCCACGGAATCAGATTTTATATAATGATAAATAACTTGTATGAGAATCAGGACATTATATTAGTCAATGCTCAACAGATTTTTCAAGTGATTTATTACACGAATTTTGCTGTTAACTTTTTGTTATACAGTGCGAGTAATGAGAAGTTTCGACGATATTTTTCATACAAATACATTTGCTATAATTTGTATCGACGTCAAAACCAGTCAACGAATGAGCACCTATATAGGTAGAAAATATACATAATAGTTACGTAAATATACTTGTAATTAAATATTTGGAAAGAAGGAGCCATGAAATAGGCAGAATAAAAGAAACTAAAAATGAAAAACATGATAACTCAAAAATGTATTCCTAAATATGCCTTTACTACGACAGCAAGTTCAGGATCTTATTTTACTCTAACGAAATTTCTATATGTCGACTAATTTTGTTTACCAATTATAATTTTCACATTAGTGTACACATGCCATTTAATTTTATTTGATTAACAAACTCACCTTGCCGAGCTTGTGATTTTTAACATCAATCTGTCACGTACGCATGGGTAAAAGAAAATAATTATGCCAATTAATTAAAACTCATGGCAAATATTCAAAGGAAAATTATTTTATCGTTAGAAGTCAAACTATAAACTAAGCAAGGAAATGTGTATTTATAAATATGAAGCAATGTGGCAACAGTTTTAGAATTTACATTGTAGTTCTCAATACTGTTTTTGTATGTTAATTCGAAATTAAAATCAATGAAGGGCACATGTCCCTTTTTAAGATGTATTTGTAGCTATGTAAGGTTTTCATTGGAAACATGGTGCTATATTTAATAGTTAGTTATTTGATATATTTCTTTTTTAAATATGTACCTTGTGTGTCTTATTATTTTACTTTGATGTAAAAATAAAATAACCTTTTTGAAAGACAATCACATAAGGTAATTGCGGGCATAATTAATTTGTTATGTTAATATCTACATTTCTATTGTTTACGCCAAAAATATAGGTCAAATTGTATTTTGAGAAATGATTCAGACTTTTGAAGAATATATTTCGGTAAGTCATTTATAATTAACTGAAAGTTGATACGTAATCAGTTGTTGTACATGTAAAAATATAATTGGTTGTATTATACTTTTTGTTTTTGTAGAGTCTTACATATAAGATGCTGAATGTTATTTGAATGTGTTCAATTTAATTAATATGCTAAATTGTTCTTTCGTCTTATTATCGTCTAACTGGTCAGACAAATCAAATTTTCTCTGAAAATACAAAATAGATTACAAAAATAATGACTTATGACTTTATTTCAAATGTATGTAATATATATGATAATAGTTCAAATGCATTGATGTAATATAATACCATCCAACAGACAAACAAACCTATATCACTTTCGAGTGTGATACTGAATGTTTACCAAATATATTTGGTTTTATTAATTAGAATAGTAAGTTAGACAAAATATGTAACAAGTGCTCCGCAAAGGCGTTGCAATGAACGCCCGAATGTTAATTTGTTTCAGTTATCAAAAATGATCTTTAAATTGGTATAGAGACCCAATAAAGAAACTTTTCTGAAAACGTTTTTATCTTAACTATCCTTATGCTGATGTGTGACCTGCAACGTGAGGGCATGGTTTCCCCTAAGTGCATGATTTATAAATCCTTTAACCAGGCAATAATCCAAATATACAGGCATACGATTTATCCACAAAAAGACAACATGGTTTAGATATTTGCCATTTATGCAACTAGAAATCGTAGTTTCAGCAACAAAGACAAAAACATATTAACTTAATGACCCGGGAACATGATTCAAAGAGTTATGTTGTGGTCCACAAAGTGAGGTTGCATGCCCAATATCTAAGCTCTCGGCATCATAGTTTCACACAATTAGTCAGAGATGTGTTTTTTCTATAATTTCTAATACTCTGTGTCGATGTGACGAGAAACCCAAAACAAACAAACTATAAGTCTACATGAATCAAGTGACCCCTAGGGCGGGCCAATTTAGAAACATCCGTGTCAAAATGTGTCAAATCAAATCGCGTCAAATACAAGTTCCGTGTCATGAAACACCTATAATGGTAACTCTTATTTATTTAATACGTTTAATGTTTTATTTTTCAAAATGACCCGCTCTTTTATTACCAAACTCTCACATGTACATGTACACATAAGGTTATTTAAACTTCTAATCATAGTTCACAAAATGATATTTTACCGTCATTACTTGTGTTTCTTAACAAATCGGGTAACTGATATAATATCTCGCCCTGTAAATGTGAAATTTATATTTCTTATGTATAAATTTCAATAGTTTGGTACCTTAAACCTTATGCATTTTTTTAGGCAACGGAAACTCAAAAGTATGATATGTAGTTGAAATTATGTCGCGTGGTATCTGAGGGGCGTGTATCTATAAATTGTCGTAAAACCTGTCAAATATTTCATATCTAGAAATGATTTTTTTTATTTGAGGTGGTATATTTAAATTGCATTTAGAAAAAAAATGTAAAAGCGATACACCGCCAAAGATAATACATGCTTTTTGTGGGACTACAATCTTTGTCAAAGGATCAGCGTACTGACTAAAATAATTTGATCTTCTTTGATTTGTTTATCTGAAGAACTGTGCACTGTCATAAATAAATCAAACAAAAGATAAATTTAATTGTAGCTTTAAAGCAATAAATTATAGTTAATTTGGAAACAAAATGCAAATGATACAAATGGGAATTGCGTGTGCATTAACCAATTGAAACTAAATACTTGTAGTATTGCAAGCGTAATAGTTATCTATTTTTCAGTTTTATTTCTAAACAAACAAAACAGCCATGAAATTTATATTCATTCTGCTTAAATGTATAATATAACCAAGAAAAGGAAAATTATAGTAATGTTGTGGTATTGCTGAGTGGTGAACGTATCGTTTTATCATCTCAAGATCTCGTGTCATATACGCTCATACCTGCAGTGGATAAAGCCGTTGTCTCCCTGAGCAAGAACATTTACACTTATTGTTAGATTTGGAAAGTTCTAGGAATAGAATCGTGAAGGTTTCTACTAAAAGCTTATAACTAGCATAACTTCCTACACAATCGAAATAAATAAATTCTACATTAGTCGAATTAATATTGTATATTAAGTATAGTAACTAACATTGACAGAATATTCTGCTCACGTACATTTACATGGATTAACAGATACGATATTTTACACATTAAAGAACATCCAGCACCGAAACAAGATAATGTTGCAGATTTTATTTAATAAGCAAATTCACATAATTCAGGAACGGCAGTGGTTAAAGTTAACTATTACACATGACCCCAGCGCCATCTTAAGAAAATTTAGATATTCTGAATTCACTTATGAAACAACCTTTTGCAAGTTTAGTTTATCACCTGGGAATCCTTAACCCAGAATAACCATTTATGATTTCATGTCAAGAAATATATTCATGATCCAATCCACGCGTAAACATGCTTTTAAAAACAAAGTATGGAAATAAAGAATAACAACATGTTGTATGCACGAATTCAGAAAGTCGAGAAAATATAATGACGAGAATATAAAACCAAATTATTGTTATTGAGCTATTAAAAAGCTTTAAAAATGTAAAATAGAGAGAAATAGAAACCCTAAAAAGTCAAAAAAGACAAAATTGAACATTTTGCATGATAAGCTAGATTGAAGTGATGTGAAAATTTAAATATAAACACGGCCTTCTACACTTCTTAGTTGACGGAAACAAAAACTATAAGAACGATAAATACTAAATGCTAATCGTTTTACTACAATATTTTCATTTAACAGGTACAATGATTTATTGTCAGAATATCTTTTTTAGATTTAATGTCACAAAATATTTTTTTACTTTGCTCCTTTCATTCAAACAGTTACAATTCAGTTTTCTTTGATCAATGCAAAGAAGAGTATCAAATACTGCATTTAAAAGGTTTCCTTCTTTTTAAATGTATGTACGATTCTCTTGCGAAAAGAAAAGAAGATGAATAAAAAAGGTCTTTAAAACAAATATCTATAAATATTCCTATTACCATAATTTTATTTTAAGTACACTGTAACAATCATTGCCGCAAACAACTCTTTTCATGCAAACTTTAACTTGCGAGAGATATTCTCTCTCCTTTTCATATCATTACAGTAAACTAAATTCAGAATGATCATTTACAGATTCATTTGTCTTAGACATTAATCTTACTTTTAGGGCAAGTAAGTTTAATATGTTTGATAATTCACATTTTATTTACTTATTTATTTATATTCAATTTCAGGTTTTTAAATCTTATTTTATATTTATAATCTATCTTTCTATCTTTCATTTTGTCAAACCCCGGCTGGGATCGTAGAATTTACTTTTACTATTAAGAAAAATTAAAAAACAGAGATGAGAAAGGCAGATACAAGTTTAAATAGATAAAAACAGGGCAAATGTATTGAGGTAGAGGCATGCAAACCTTGTTAACGATCTTAACGAACATGGGCCAATGTAAACATAATTATTATTGATCAACCATAGAATCAACTTATAATGTTAACAGCCAGTATGCATCTTAATACTACATAATCACACACTTATTGCATACAATTATAGTACTTAAACTACCTCTTTACATTTTAATTAAAACCAAATATACGAAATATTGATCATAACTAATTGGACTATTGATATTAATTTTTGAGCTCATAAGTAATAAGTTTGGAGCTAGTTCTCCTTTTATAAAATAATATTATGCGACTCATCATATATTTTATTAATATGAAGAATGAAAGTGACAGATGTGTTAAATTATTGCTAACTCTCATAGTAATATGTAGATCGCTTTCCAAGACACATTCATTACAATAAAAAATTGTTTATATAGAGCGAAAACCTATAAAGAATAAAAAAAAACAGAACTAATAAAAAAGAAAGGAAAACGCATAAATGCGAGTCAATAATATTTTATGTGCATTTAACAGTACAAATGTACAAATGTAAATACACAGTCATATGTAAAATATATAAAAATCAGCAATGTTCAGAGACAAAAAGGAAATGCCCCCACCCTTTTCAATATATATATATATAATATCCAAAATCAAGCAAAAGAATTGGCATCAAAATGAGAGGGCAGACAAACGGGGAAGAAGGATAAATAATAAATAAGGTAGCTCATATTAAATTTTAAGTGTAAAAATGTGACGAGAAAAAGGTAGGAAAAAGGCAAGTTAGAAAGGGGCAACTAGGCAAAACGGAAGAAAAGAAGACTCCAACGGACAACAGGAAACAAATTGGAACGGCGACACAAAAGACATGAATTATGACAATACATTAAGGCATGTTTTCGTACATACAATACGTTCCGCTTAATTGTATAATTAAGTTGGCTTAATTAAAACTCTCCAAACGTGAACAAAATTGGGACTAAAGTGGCAGGCATGACATAGGCGGTGCCAATTATCAACTAATAGGAAACTTTAGTTTAAGTATAAATGTAGAAATATGTAGGGAAATGGGGATTAAGAGAAATAAAAAAGTGATGGAAGGCATAACGGTTAGGGTCGTGACACCCACGTATTAGGTGCAAAAAGATTTGAACGCCAACATGAAACAGATACATTTAGACAATGATGATGAAGCAAAACAATGCTTTCTTAGATAAAACGAAATGGTGCTTTAATACGCTACGTTTTAATGTACAATTAAGGTTGCTAGATTAAATTCTAAGCATGAAACCTTAATAAGCAAAAACAAAAAAATCATAATACTCTAAAACAAAACTCGTCAAAGAGGACAGCGGTGATATTTTTAATACAAATAAGTTTCATGTATAGATGTTAATTTGTGGGGAAATATCCGGTAGAATCTAAAGTAAAATGATACAAAGATATGTAAATAATGCAAATAAATTTATCTAATTTCTTAATAATTTCGGCATATAAAAAGACATTGAGTATCCATAATTGCCCTCCGATACTTAAACAGATTTTCACTAGATTAGATTCATTAAATGGGTGATGATGTGATATGCGGCAGAAAATAGTTATCTTTAGCATATTTTTTATCTCATTCAAGCTAAATTGTCCAAGCACCATTAATCGATAAAGACAAAAATCGATTCCTCTTAATTCTAGACATATAAATAGGATATGTAAAAAAGCTTTCATTTCATTGATTATTAGACTCCGTCAAATCGCGTCAACATTTTACAGACTGACGCTTTTGGAAATTACCACCATCAGTAAGCGTTTAACTATTACTGGTCATATCGACGTGTGATACAATTTTTCTACAATTTTGATGTGGATCATTGGGTTGCCAATAAAAGGAAGATTTGTAATCTAGCTATATAAATGTTATAAAATTAAACTTATTACAAGTTACATTTAACACCTGAAATATTGAAATCATTAACCGTTACTTTAGATAAATCATCTAATTCATAATAACCTTAATCAATGAGACATTGCAATTGAAGTGCTTGACTGTATCTGAAGCTTATATGAACATATTAATAATATGATGTCACGTTTCT